GGTTATGGCTCAAACCGTTTAGGAATTATGGGCTAAAAAGGGGGAAAAACAAGGTTGTCCTGGTTAATGGACAAATACTTTAGTACAAAACATAATTTAAAGCAGTGTATTAGGGAGATAAATAAAAAATACATCATTTGAATTACCTCCCTTACACTGCTTTTAAATTATATATTAAGTAATGGTTAATGAACAATTAAGACAATTTAAAAGTAGTGTAAGGGAGGTAATCCAAATACAATGTTTTGATTACCTCCCTTACACTGCTATTAAATTATGTTTAAAGAAATGCATATTTATAAAGGAAGACCAGTAAAAATATCTGCATCTTTTTTTTTTTACAAAAAAATTCCATATGAAAGATTTGACACCATATTTTAAATTCTATTATAAAATAGATTAAGTTAGCACTATGGTAAATTTAAATGAGTAATTATGGTTGCAAATATCATTTTTTTTTGCAAATTCCAAATATTGAAAAATTTCAAGAAGTAATCTTTAATTGCACAGTATGATGCATTAGATTTGTAAAATCTTTGACCACATTTATTTCTTTGATATGCTGAATCTAACCGTGTATTCAGATTTTTAATTTTGGGTCCAGTTTTCAAATTGGTCTACATTAAGGTCCAAAGGGTCCAAAATTAAACTTAGTTTGATTTTAACAAAAATTGAATATATGGGGTTCTTTAATATGCTGAATCTAAACATGTATTTAGATTTTTGATTTTGGGCCCAGTTTTCAAGTTGGTCTAAATTGGGGTCCAAAATTAAACTTTGTTTGATTTCAACAAAAATTGAATATATGGGGTTCTTTGATATGCTGAATCTAACCTTGTATTTAGATTTTTTATTTGTGGGCCTGCTATCAAATTGGATCATATTGAGGTTAAAAGGGTCCAAAATTAAACTTTGTTTGATTTCATCAAAAATTGAATTATTGGGGTTCTTTGATATGCCAAATCTAACCATGTACTTAGATTTTTAATTTTGGGTCCCGTTTTTTAAATTGGTCTACATTAAGGTCCAAAGGGTCCAAAATTAAACTTAGTTTGATTTTAACAAAAATTGAATTCTTGGGGTTCTTTGATATGCTGAATCTAAACATGTGTTTAGATTTTTGATTATGAGCCCAGTTTTCAAGTTGGTCCAAGTTGGGGTCCAAAATTTAACTTTGTATCTGATATGCTGAATCTAACCATGTATTTTGATTTTTGGGCCCCACTATCAAATTGGTCCACATTGAGGTCAAAAGGGTCCAAAATTAAACTTCGTTTGATTTCATCAAAAATTGAATTCTTTGGATTCTTTTATATGCTGAATCTAACCATGTATTTAGATTTTGGATATTGGACCATAATAGGTAAATTAAAAAAAATTTAAGTTCTTAGACCACATTCATTCTGTGTCAGAAACCTATGCTGTGTCAAATATTTAATCACAATCCAAATTCAGAGCTGTATCAAGCTTGAATGTTGTGTCCATATTTGCCCCAACTGTTCAGGGTTCGACCTCTGCGGTTGTATCAAGCTGCGCCCAGCGGAGCATTTTATTATAAGATAAATAAATAAAGCAAACTTTAAAATAGAGAAAATGAGGTCAATATCAATCAAACATAACTTAAACCATGATGTCATTAAATTTATTTGAAAAATTCAGCATTTAAAACATGTGTATGATCATGTTTATCTTAATAAATGTCAAATCCTTAAATACCCCCGTCCTCTGCTCTCCATATCATGTTTTAAACTGTTTAAAGCTATCATGTTATTGGGTGTAGTAATAAACAAGGTCAATACTATGGGAAAAAAAGAAGATTTTGCCAGCTTTGACTAATATTTGCCATATGTTATAGACATGCACTCTGTCAAATGTGTTAACAAATATGCACCTTGACTTATCTTAACAGTGCATCACATGTCACTCACTTCATTATGGAATTGATATGGGGGATGTAGATGGGGTGTTCATTGTTGGATTGATTTATGTTTTGAATTGAAAAACAATCTCTCTCTTTCCAATTGATAGTCTTTAATCAGGTTGTTCCATTGTGTTATTATTGGTTGTTCTAAGAAGATGAATTTTCATCACACTATCAATCTGCATGATGTGCATTTTCCCATGTTTTTAACCAAAAAAAAGATGTATGGATAGGAAATTCACCTCTGACCTTGACCTCACTTCAGTTAGGTTCTATTCCATTTCAGGTGTAAAATTACTAACTGTATTGAAATGTTTTTAGTAAGTGAAAAATTAAACTGCTCTGTAGGGCCTCAATTTCCATACACCAATTTCTCTCATAGATGGGGCATGAACCTTGTCATATAGTATGTTCAATTAAGTCATGTCCTTCAACACCATTTAACCATTTACAGATGTAAAAGGACAGCTGCAGGACAGTCAGAAACTGGAATAGAATGTTCTGTGGTGCTGGCAATCACAAAAAATGGGAATAATGCACCAATTAAAGAGAGAGAAAGGTCTAGCTCTATAATCCCTTTGATTAGAATTTTTGTGTCCAGCCAAAATACTACACATGAATATGGATTTTTCTGTAACACATGTCTGAACAAAATGTTTCGGGCTTGTATGAAAACAATTTTTCACAAATACAATTTTAGAATTCTACATCCCTGGCCCACCCCCACCCAAAGAGAGAATGATAACTGTTTATAACTGTCAAAGTTGAAGATCAGTAATAAATGGAGAATTTCTTTATTTATGAGTGTATTTGGTATAATATATAATGTTCAAATGAATCCAGTTCTCCTGATTGAATATTCAGCCTCTAATGAATTGATGTCAATTGCTAAATGAATGTGTTTAAATATTCCCTTACTTTCATTTTTAGCTCACCTGGCCCGAAGGGCCAAGTGAGCTTTTCTCATCACTTGTCGTCCGTCGTCCGTCGTCGTCGTTAACTTTTTACCTTTTAGAACTTCTTCTAAAGAACCACTGAATGGAATGAAACCAAACATGGCATGAATGTTCCTTATGAGGTACTGACCAAGTGTTGTTACTTTGTAGCGGATCCATAATCCAAGATGGCCGCCAGCGGGGGACTTAGTTTAACATGGGACCCTATGGGAAATACATACAAATGTCTTTTTTTAGAGAACCACAGAATGGAATGAAACCAAAGACAGCATAAATGTTCCTTATGAGGTGCTGACCAAGTGTTGTTACTATGAAGCCGATCCATAATCCAAGATGGCCGCCAGCAGGGGACTTAGTTTAACATTGGACCCTATGGGAAATACATACAAATGTCTTCTTTTAGAGAACCACTGAATGGAATGAAACCAAACATGGCATGAATGTTCCTTATGAGGTGCTGACCAAGTGTTGTTACTTTGAAGCTGATCCATTATCCAAGATGGCCGCCAGTGGGGCACTTAGTTTAACATAGGACCCTATGGGAAATACATACAAATGTCTTCTTTTAGAGAACCATTAAATGGAATGAAACCAAACATGGCATGAATGTTCCTTATGAGGTGCTGACCGAGTGTTGTTACTTTGAAGCCGATCCATAATCCCAGATGGCCGCCAGCAGGGGACTTAGTTTAACATGGGACCCTATTGGGAAATACATACAAATGTCTTCTTTTAGAGAACCACTGAATGGAATGAAACCAAACATGGCATGAATGTTCCTTATGAGGTGCTGACCAAGTGTTGTTACTTTGAAGCTGATCTATCATCCAAGATGGCCGCCAGCGGGAGACTTAGTTTAACATAGGAGCCTATGGGAAATACATACAAATGTCTTCTTTTAGAGAACCACTGAATGCAATGAAACCAAACATTTCATGAATGTTCTTTATGAGGTGCTGACCAAGTGTTGTTACTATGAAGCCGATCCATAATCTAAGATGGCCGCCAGCGGAGGACTTAGTTTAACATAGGACCCTATGAGAAATACATACAAATGTTTTCTTTTAGAGAACCATTGAATGGAATGAAACCAAACATGGCATGCATGTTCCTTTTGAGTTGCTACTTTGAAGCTGATCCTTCATCCATGATGGCCGCCAGATGGGGACAATGTTTAACAAAGGACCCTATGGACAATACATACAAATGTCTTCTTTTAGAGAACCACATACTGAATGGATTGAGACCAAACATAGCAAGAATGTTTCTTATGAGGTGCTGACTAAGTTTTGTTACTTTGAAGCTGATCCTTCATCCATGATGGCCGCCAATGGGGGGACTTCCTTTAACATAAGACCCTATGGGAAATACATACAAATGCTTCTTCTAGAGGTGCACTGAATGGAATGAAACCAAAACATGGCATAAATGTTTCTTATGAGGTGCTGATGAAGTGTTGCTACTTTGTTGCCGATTTACTGTTCAAGATGGCCACCAGGATTTTTTATTAAATTACAGGACCAATATTAAACCAAATTTGGCCTCACTCATTATTAGGGTATCTGTTATGATTTTAATCTATTTTTACATGATTTCCAAAACCAAAGTAGAATCAGGTGAGCGACACGTGCTCTTGAGAGCCTCTAGTTGAGTTGACTGCTACATCTAAGTATTCAGAGGAAAACTTTAAATTAGAGCCTGTTGTTCAGTGGTTGTCGTTTGTTGGTGTGGTTCATAAGTGTTTCTCCTTTCTCGTTTTTTATATAGATAAGATTGTTGGTTTTCCTGTTTGAATTGTTTTACACTAGTCTTTTTGGGGCCCTTTATAGCTTGCTCCGTGTTGAAGGCCGTACTTTGACCTATAATTGTTTACTTTTTACACATTGTGACTTGGATGGATAGTTGTCTCATTGGCACTCATACCACATCTTCTTATTTATATAACACTGATATATAAATGTTCAATCATATTTAAGTTGACAGTTTTGTTCACTGGTTACATTACATGTATGAAAACAGATGACTTTATATGTGTTACATGTTAATTAACATCTGAACACTTTGTAACATAATACATTCTGTTTGTATATTTACATCACAAGTGTCAACTTCAAATGATGAAGTGGTAGTCTCTTTTGTAAAATAGAAACTTAGTAAATGAAAAGACAATTTAGTAAAGGATTTTAACTTTGCTTAATGAAGTGATTTTATTTCTCAGCAAAAATATTTCTTGGGATTTACTGCTTAATGAAATGGTTTTATTTCTCAGCAAAATATTTCTTGGGATTTACAGTAAACAGTCTGAAACACAACCATACTCTTAGACCATGTGACAGACAGCTTGTATACTTGGTAGGATTATTTGTCTTTATATTCTCTTGACCATACTATACTATCAGGTTGATTTGACAATTTTATGTGAGTTACGTATGGACACCAACTTTGGACTATTGTGTAACCTCACATCTCCTCTGAGAAAACTCTCATACTTAGTAGGATTGTTTGATGTCATCATACTGTTTTACATATCGTACTGTCATTTTGAATCCACTATTTTACCTGGAGTTATGGGAATTTGACTTTTGTTTTACTATCCTTCCAAAATGAGATGTGTGCACATAACTCATATATGCAAGGAAATTTGGATATGAACAAAAAATTAAAACAAAATTTGGAACGTGTTTTAATTCAAATTGCTATTTCCAAAAACTATTTCCTACGTAAATATTGTGATGCATTCACAAGGTGTCATTATTCAATAGGCCAAACAGACTAAGTGTCATTGTGGTACAGTAGATGAACCATCTCATAGGGTTTCAGTATAATGAGTATTCCTCAATTTACAGAAACACTACATTAACTTTGAAATGACTAGAGCTAAGAACATATTCGTTCCTAACCTGAACGATGTAAACAATTGTTTCTTATATTTTTTGGTCAACATCGACATGGCGTTCACCTAAAGAATGTATGGGCAAAATAGTTGCGTAGTTTCTGTCGTTCAACTAATTACGACCGCATGTTTATTATAATAAGTCCTGGTCATCCATCCTGTTTGTTTACGATACGTGTATGTAATCTATTTCTGTCTCACTATACGAGAGATGGATAAAGGTTATTAATCGATGAATTTGTTTCTAGCAGCTTTTAAACATTTACTAAACTATAGTCATCAATGACAAAATTTCGGGTTTGATACAAATGCACTCTTAATGTTAGCTTATAATGTTCCTGTTGTGCAACTCATTTACACAGCAGTGGGGGGCATTTCACTATGGTGTAGCAATCTTTTTGATTTTAGGTTGGATGTGAGGAATTTAAGCCTAGTAATTTGTTTTTCATTTGATGCCAATTCAGAGAGTGATATCCCTAATATATAATATATAACAGATTTTTACAGAATAGCTTGACACAAGAAGTTTTTATGTCTACTTAATAATAACAGTTTAAGAGTTGTTAACTGTTTTGTGATTATAACAAATATAAATGAAGGACATGGATGGTAGTTTTCAAGTGATCAAATACTGATATTTATAGCCTTGACTATTCAAATGTTGTAGTAAAACTATGAGAAACAAACAGATAAAATGTTATGCTGATGTAGATTTGACCTTGAACTATCCTTTCCTGAAATTTTCACAATTATTTACCATGATAGAAATCTGCATAATTATAATAACAATCTATAAAACTATGGGAATATCCGGAGAAATTAGAAATAATTATAACATTTATAATGTGAAACCATGGATAGAGTTGAAGCAGAACAAGATAGTGGATTTTCGTTTACTTTTTGTACATCGGTCAAACAGTGGTCAACATATGTCTGCCAGTCTGTTCAATACATATTTTGTTATTAACTTAGTTATGCTTTTGCTTGCTGTGGAATCATTTATTTTCATTGATACAAATTTTTGAGGATTGAAGAATTGAATTTTAGTAGATACTTAATTTTATTTTTATTGATTTGTCAAAGTTGTATGCAAGCCTATGCAAAATTTATACTTGAATCCACAGTGTTTCCTTCAAACTTTCAAAGACAATTTGTAATACAGGTGTAATGACCACAATATGTCTTGATGACTCAACAGAGTTATACAGTGTTCCAATTTTAGGTCCACAAGTAGACATTAGACCTCAAGTCTTCATGCGACATAAATATGGAATAAGCCAAGATTTTCTCAAATAATTCTACAGGCATTCTAATATAAGATAAAGCGTTATCGGACTTTGTTTGACCTGTAATTAACGTGCTGAAAATGTGTGGCTCTTTATCTTGATATGAATAAAAGGAAACAGCAATCTATCAATACAGTAAAGTTAAAATAGATTTCAAGCCCACTAAAGGTTGACGTATTGTCTTCAACAACAAAAAGGTGTCTATACCATAATTATGCTAAGCCCTAAATGGAAGCAGGAATAAGGATTCTGTTAGACATGTTAGATACCTGAATGGGTTTTTACCCTGTTATGTATACTTCAGGGAAGATTTTAAGACAGGAACCTTATCAGCTTATGATTTTCATCTAACCCAGACCCTATTTTCTTACATTACCAGACAATAATTTGCTATATGGATTAGTGATAAGAAGTATATGTTAGTTTGACCTATTTTATATGGCTTTGACCTAAATTTCAATTACTCCCATATTTTGTGTTGTTTTCTTGGAAAAGGTTTTAAGTTTTCAAGATATAGTCTGCACAACTTAGTAACCGAGGCAATACAAGAAAAGTCAGAGATATTTGGTAAATGTTTTAAAGTCTATCATACATTGACCTCATTTCAATGTTCAAAGATTGGAGTGATTAGGTGTACCTCTGAATCCCTTCAAACATTGGTACATGATAACAGTTTGATATTGTCAGTTTATTAAACTGAATTATGTTATTTTATGCTTGAAAATCTTGTTCAAAAGTTTTTAGAATTGGTTAAGGTATGTTCAGATATATTTTAAATGATTTTCAGTTAATTTTATTTGTAGCCATAAGGATCTCTGATGATAAAACTATCATTTCTTATTTAACGACTGTGCTATGTAGGTTAGTGGGCTTCTGTCCTAAAATTGAATCAGTTTGCAACAATTTACATCAATAAAGATCTAGCAGCATGTTATATGTGCTCTAATTGTTATGTATCTGACAACTTTGACTTTATAAATTGTTACATAGTGTGTTCTTTAATATTATATAACTAACTCATGGGAATTTCATCATTTAATGTCAGGCATGCAGTCATTGATATTGAGTGCAGGCAGTCGTAGGTAGGTCACATTTGATTTTTTGATTTGAACTTATTCAGAAATGATTATTTATAGCATATAAATTTTATATATTTTATCAGCTTATGACCTTCTTATTTGTGAAAACTAAATTTCTTTGCTGCATTTTCTTTGGAAATGCCTGTACCAAGTCAGGAATATGACAGTTGTTTTCCATTCGTTCCTTTGGGTAAAGTCTAAAGCTTGATTTTGTCAGTCAGTTGTTTATGAACTTCACTCTTTTTAAATTTACCTTTGAGTTCGGTTTTTATGCCAAACCTAGGGACATTATGTTTTTCAGTCTGTGCGTCCGTTCATTTGTCCGTCTGTCCCGCTTCAGATTAAAGTTTTTGGTCACTTTAGGTTAAAGTTTTTGGTCAAGGTAGTTTTTGATGAAGTTTGAAACTTAGTACACATGTTCCCTATAGCTATGATATGATCTTTCTAATTTTAATGCCAAATTAGAGTTTTGACCCCAATTTCAAGGTCCTCTGAACATAGAAAATGACAGTGCGAGTGGGGCATCCGTGTACTATGGACACATTCTTGTTTTATTAGTAAAAATGTGCTTTTTTTTCAATATAGCTGATCAAATATCTAAAGGAACTAGCACATGATTAATAATGAATGATAGAATATGTAATAAAGCTGTTGGTATGCTGATTATCTCCCTTACCCAGGTAAAAAGTTATCTCTGTTATATCATAATGAATGATTGATTGATGGTAGGTCTTCAAAGCCAATTTTGTTTTTCATTTATTGTTGAAAAATTCATGGAAATTGGATAAGTACATAAATCAGGCTGTTATATTTCTCATTTGAATTGTTTTACATTTGTCATTTTGGAGCCTTGTATAGCTCGCTATGCTGTAATGGTATTGCTCATTATTGAAGGCCATACAATGACCTATAGTAAGTTTTCACGCTCAACTACAGGCCCACCAGCCAAGGCTTGTAAGACTTCTGTCTGGCCTGTAAAAATCATCTCCACAGGCCAATATAATCGTAACTAAAATTTTCTTAAAATTCAGTTTCAGGCCTTTAGAATCAAAAGTCTATTGTGAAGACTGTATAGTTGCTATTTTATAACTACTACATCATTTTGTAGAGAGTTGTCTCATTGGCAATCATACCACATCTTCTTATTTTTGTCTCGCCTTGACGGAGTCAAAAAGCAAGACATAGGTATGCTGTTTCTGACAACAACGACGGCGGCGGCAGCGGCGTCAACAATGTATAAGTTTGTGATTAGGTCTAGTTCATGGTGAACCACTAGTGGTAGGTCAATGATATTTGGTATGCAGTTGTATTAACATTGGCACATCTCATTACCATGGAGATTATTTGGCCCCGCCCCCTCAGTCAAGGTCTATTGACCTTGAAACTTTGCTTAGTTTACATGTATTAGTTTGTGATTAGGTCAGTTTATGGGGAACCACTAGTGGTAGGTCAATGATATTTGGTATACAGTTGTATAAGCATTTGCATATCTCATTTCCATGGAGATTATTTGGCCCCGCCCCGTCATTCATGGTCTATTGACTTTGAAACTTTTGCTTTAGTTTTCATGTATTAGTTTGTGATTAGGTCAGTTTAAGATGAACCACTAATGTAAAGTCAATGATATTCGGTATGCAAATGTATTGGCATTTACAAGTTTCATTTCCTTGGAGATTATATAACCCCACCCCCTAATTACGGTTCATTGACTTTGAAACTTTTACATAGTTTACAAGTTAAATGTTTGTGTTTAGGTTTGTTTAAAGGGAACAACTTATGAAAAGTCATTGGTATTTGGTTTGCAGTTGTATTAGCATTGGCACATCTCATTTCCATGGAGACATATCTCTGTGTTAACAGTTTATTATATTAAGCACACTTAGCTATATCATGGCTGCCAGTTTCTTATTAAAAAGCTAATACTGCACAATTTCTTGAGTGTTGCTGAAAAGTTTTGATCAAGAAAGATGTCACGTGACCATGATCTGCTGTCTTATTCTTTTACATCTTAGAACAAACATAAAATAATACCAAGAGTATATGTGTTGAAAATAACGTTTTGAAAGACAATAATGATGTGTTTGTTTTTTTTCAGATAGTAAATTGATAAAATCATTGTAAGTTAACAACATGGCTGATCAGGAAGGGTCCGAGCCTATGGTGGAACAGGATAATGTAGATAAGAATTCTAAAAAGAAGTCTAGATTTCTTAAACTGAAACCTCGTAAAGTCAGGAAGAGAGTAAAAAAGGTAATATGATGTTGAATGTACTGAAAATTCAGAAATTATTGCGAGGTTTTTATTAATGCGAATAATGCGACTGGGTGAGTATCGCAATTATAAGAAACCGCATTTTGATATCTGATACATATATCTGTATGCAGCTTTAATTTCACATTTTTATGCCCCTGCCGTAGCGGAGGGGGCATTAAGTTTTACCGTTGTCTGTCTGTACATCCGTACATCTGTCCGTACATCCATCCGTATGTCCCAAAGTTGGTTTCCGTTCTCTAACTTTAGATTACCTCAACCAAATGTTATGAAATTTATACACAATGCTTATTACCATAAAATACAGATCAAGTTTGAATTTTGGTGGTGTAACTTTAACAGTTCTAGAGTTGTGCCCTTTACAAATTGGAAAATTGCTGAATTTTTCGTTTCCGTTCTAGAACTTAAGTTAGCTTCAACCAATTGTTATGAAACTTATACACAATGCTTAATACCACAAAATACAGATTAAATCGGAATTTTGGTGGTGTCACTTAAACCATTCTAGAGTTATGCCCCTTTACAAATGGAAAAATTCAGTTTCCGTTCTCTAACTTAAGTTAGCCTCAACCAAATGCTATGAAACTTATACACATTTGTTATTACTACAAAATACAGATCAAGTTTGTTTTTTTGGGTGTCACTCTTATTGTTCTAGAGTTATGCTTTACAAATGGAAAAATTGCTGAATTTTTTGTTTCCGTTATCTAACTTAGGTTTGCCTCAACCAAATGTTATAAAACTTATACACAATTGTTATTACCACAAAACACAAGATCAAGTACAAATTTTGGTAGCGTCACTTTTACCGTTTTTTCAGTTATGTCCCTTTATATTTTTATATGATAGACAAGTGGGGGCATCATCTGTGTCCCATGTACACATTCCCCATTTTTTGTTCATTCTTCATAAATTACAATCAATAATTTCTGAACTTACAGTATGTGAGAATCAATCCCCAGTCACAATTAAGTAGTCACCTGAAAATAATTAAAACAGTATTATATACTTTCTGTAAATATAAAAAAGAAGATGTGGTATGATTGCCAATGAGACAACTCTCCACAAGAGACCAAATGACACAGAAATTAACAACTATAGGTCACCGTACGGCCTTCAACAATGAGCAAAGCCCATACCGCACAGTCAGCTATAAAAGGCCCTGAAATGACAATGTAAAACAATTCAAACGAGAAAACTTATGTACAAAAAATGAACGAAAAACAAATATGTAACACATGTTCTTTGATAATCAGAATTCTTTATTTTTGCATAGATAAGATAAATATTTTGGGAATAGAGTGCTTTTGCTTGATAGTCAGTACAGCTGTTGTCAATAGTATGTGCAGATGAGTAGGCATTTCTGTGTATAAAAATTTTAAAAAATCATGGAAATTGGATAAGTAATGACCACAATAATCTTTCAAAAATGGTAATTTTACCTGAATAACTGATAGGATAAACCAAATCTGTACTAAAAAGGGGAATCAGAAAATGGAAATCCAGGGGATGACCCAAACCAAAAGTTTTATGACAGATGTAAGGGACCTATTGAACAAAACAAAATATTTAAACTTTAACAAAATCTTCTAGGCAATACAGAATTCTTTAGTGAATAGAATTAGGTTGCTTCTTACATAAAACAGCCTCTTGTGGTAGTGTGCACATGTTGGAGGTCCCAGGTTCAATACCCAGCCAGGTCTAACCAAAGACTTGTAAACTGGTATTTGCTGCTTCCAACCAAGCAAGTGGCATTTTGGAGTAAGATCAAAGACTGGTCAGCTTGGAGTCTGAAATTGTCTCTGGTAGGATGTCCTCCTGTGAACTGTTACTTTGTGAACTAGTCCTTTAAAAATAATACAGCTCTGAGTGTCCGTCTTGTACAAAACAATGTTCATATTCATTTCACATTTACATGCACTGGGGTCCTTAATACATATTTAATATGCCATTAGTCGTTAAATAACCCTCCATCATCATCTCTTCATATAAAAAGTTATGCATCATAAGACATAATTCACAATTTCAATATAAGCATGCATTTCTTTACCAGTACCTATGAGTGAATTTTTTATCATTTTCATGCATGCATAATGTGATAGTGAGTCAGTTTAAGAGGACGGATAATTGACTTTTTAGTGGGAAAATGTACATTGAGATAATATATGAAGCTCTAGAGACAGTCAGAATCCATAATAACATGATAAGTGAACAATTCAGATATTGCAGTGTGTTGCTTTGTGGTGACAATTGGTATAATTTTCTGCATTAAGTCTGTGACCAAATAATTTTTTTTACACATATCTTTCCTTGGACTTACCCTTATTTCATAGCAATCAATGTAATAAATTCTGTTAACACCAAATGAAAGTAGGAGTATCTAGGTTTTTTCCAAAAACACCTTGAAAAAAATGTTTACCAGAAATGGGAACTTATCTGCCTGAAAAATCTTATGTATTTGTTTTCTATTAGATCTGCAGGTTTGTTTGCACATTAAACCAAGACATAAATAAATAAATTGCTCTGCAGAGATTTGACACACGTCAAGCTTGATGAAGAAAGACAGACTTAATGCATCATGACAGGTTTTGAAGAAATTCACTTTTATTGACAAGTAATTTCATTTCAGATCAAATCCATTTCTTCATGTTAGCAAGTATATGTCTGATCCTATGGTATTAAAGGGATATAATTCTATATAGAGTTGACAGAAATTAGCTTGTATTGAAGGATAGAAAACCTTATGTAGTTCTGCCATTACATTATAAAACTGGCATAGAGTTTTATTCAACAAAACACTAAAATTCAATATTTTTTAATTACAATATTATGTTTTAGAATTCTACCATTTGATATGCTCTTATGATATAAAAATCATCCTGCTTTCTAATGAAATAATCATTTTTGCACAGAAGCTAATATCAGCTGGTACTTCTATATGAAAACACTATATTACAATGTAGATGTCTTCTTTCTGAATGTCAAACTGTTCACACAAAGATAGACATGGTAGGAAATAGTTGATCGATTGATTGATTGGCGTTAAACGCCACTTTCAACAGTATTGTGGTATTTCATGGTGGTCAGTTTTTATTGGTGGAGGAAGCCGGAGAAAACCAATGACCTTAGGTAGGAAAACTGACAATTCTAGTCACTTAAGATTGGAGAGGAGCGCACCTGCCACGTTCGGGATTCAAACTCACAACCTCAGTGTTGACTAGCTAGTGATACAGTAGTTCGATTAATTAGACCACTTGGCCACAGAGCCCTCCCTAGTAAATAGTTGATATTTAACAAACAGTTATATTGTTTATACATTCAGCCATCTCATATAGTTTCCAATTTCTAATCTAATTTGCATTATTAAGTGTTCCTGCAATTATTATTTGATTGAGAGAGCTTTATGATTATTTGATGTTATTTTCACTGTGGTATAAGACGAATTGTCGACAGTTGTTGAAAACTTCTGCAATGGTTGACCTTCATAAAAAAGTACTGCTACAGTCAATATAAGGGAAGTCATGGACATAGTTGAAAAATAAGAACATGCTAAGGGGGTTGAAAAAAAATCATAATTTGATGAGTTCAAACCACACTTTATGCAAAAGAAAAAGACTAAAAGACAAACAAATATTAAATTAAAACTAATCCTCATTAAAGGCTGGAAGGGTGAGCAGATCCTGCTACAACAGCTAAAATAAATGAATGTTTATGAATTGTGTTAACAAAAAGCAAAAGGTAATAAATCTAGCACTTCATTCAAAGTCAAGTTCTAGCTAGAACCGCAAAAGTATGTGATGTCATATTTAAATTTAAGATTTAAACAAGTGGATAGTGGAGAACAATCAAGGGGGATTCAAGCCATACACTATCATATCATAGAAATAAACTATAGCCAGGAAAAATTATATTGGAAAAAACAATGGAAGAACTGTATTTTTGTGATATCAAGACACAATATATAGTCATGGCCACCAACAGCCAGTTAGATATATTACAGCAACAAAGAAAATGCATGTATGGGTGACTCAGAAGTCAGTTGACATGGATTATTATATTTGCAAAAACAAGAAAAAATGCTAATAATTGGAACATATTGTATGCATTTAAATTATGAAAAATGAAGTAAAAATTTGTTTTTTTTTTCCTTTTCAGTTGGGAACCTGGGGTAAAGACAATCTGCTATTAACGTTGACAATAGCCAGTGTGTTTGCAGGACTGATTCTTGGGTTTTCTTTACGGCAAGCAGAACCTTCAGAGCAAGCCATCCTACTTATATCATTCCCAGGAGATGTGTTAATGAGGATGTTAAAGTTAATGATTCTTCCTTTAATTACCTCTTGTATGATAACAGGTATAGAATTATCTCTCATATAAGTCATAGAATTATCTCTCATATAATATAAGTCATAGAATTACCTCTCATATAATATAAGTCATAGAATTATCTCTCATATAATATAAGTCATAGAATTACCTCTCATATAATATAAGTCATAGAATTATCTCTGATATAATATAAGTCATAGAATTATCTCTGATATAATATAAGTCATAGAATTATCTCTCATATAATATAAGTCATAGAATTATCTCTCATATAATATAAGTCATAGAATTATCTCTCATAATATAAGTCATAGAATTATCTCTCATATAATATAAGTCATAGAATTATCTCTCATAATATAAGTCATAGAATTATCTCTCATATAATATAAGTCATAGAATTATCTCTCATATAATATAAGTCATAGAATTATCTCTCATATAATATAAGTCATAGAATTATCTCTCATATAATATAAGTCATAGAATTACCTCTCATATAATATAAGTCATAGAATTATCTCTCATATAATATAAGTCATAGAATTATCTCTCATATAATATAAGTCATAGAATTATCTCTCATATAATATAAGTCATAGAATTATCTCTCATATAATATAAGTCATAAAATTATCTCTCATATAATATAAGTCATAGAATTATCTCTCATATAATATAAGTCATAGAATTATCTCTCATAATATAAGTCATAGAATTATCTCTCATATAATATAAGTCATAGAATTATCTCTCATATAATATAAGTCATAAAATTATCTCTCATATAATTTAAGTCATAGAATTTCTCACTTTTATTGTATAAGTTATAGAATTACCTCCCTTATATTATATTAATTAAAGAATAACCTCCCTTATATTGTATTAATAAAAGAATTACCTCCTGTATATTGTATAAGTTATAGAATACCACCCTTATATTATATTAATTATAGAATTACCTCCCTTATATTATATAAGTAATAAAATTATCTCCCTTATATTATATTAATTATAGAATTACCTCCCTTATAGCATATAAGATATAGATTACCTCCCTTATGTTATATAAGTTTTTGAATTATATCCCTTGTATGATAGCTAAATACACAACCATTTCCTCTCTGTATATCTTAATTCAGATCCCACATAAAAGTTTCCGTGTTTGATACCTGATTTAGTAATGACTTTTGGCCAGCATGACCTGTAGAATCAAGTTGGAAGATGTGTGATGCATTTGTAATTATTTCCTTAAAGTAATTTGATGTTGTAAAATAAATCATACAAATTTTGCAATTTTTCAACATGTTTCACTCCAAGTAAGCATTCCTTACAATTAATCGAAAAACACTTTTAAAAACTGAAAAAGGTGCTAGATAAATAGTTTTCTCTGGTTCCAGACAATAACAACCACTGGATTTCAATAAAAATCTTATTAGAAAAAATATTCGTAAGTTATGAACATTTCAATATAACTTAAGATCAATTCTTAAAGTTAAGTCTTTTTGTAAAAAGAGCCCAAGGCCCCTGACTTGGGGCCAGTTAATCAACAATTTGGTGGGGTTAAACCATCCCTCTAACTCTATATAGTGTAAATCAGTTATAATAATATTTATGAATAAAAGGAGATGTGGTGTATATATAATTTAGACAGTACACCAATAACAAAAATAGCCAAAAGACATCTAGAAGTCAACACACAGTTTAGAACATCAGACTGGTGTCTTTACAATATGTCAAGCTCTAAATTATTCCAAGTCTAAAAAAGTTGTGAACAGAAAATATCAAAGAACTGCCATCAACTCTTATACTACAGATTACAAAAATAGATTAAGGAGGGTGGTAAAGGGTTATTTTCGTGCAACGTGTTTTGCCATTTTTATTTCACAAGCAGCAGTGAAAAAGGTTCGTTATTCACCGTGTTTCGTGAAACCTGTAAAAAGATCAACGTGCAAGAAATTTTTAATTGTTCGTTCATCGTGAAATGGCAATTTTATTTCGCATTCTTCCGTGCAGATACCCCTCCTTTACGCCCCTCAATAAGATGTGACATAAAACAACCACCGAGGAGTTTTCTGACTTGAGAAAGTCGCACCAATATAGGGTGCGGCAAATTAATTTCAAAAAGAGTTCTTAACCCTCCCTCTTTTTAATTTCTATCAGTGAAATGAAAAAAGGTACACACAAGATTAAACAATTAATGTGTCCATTCTGTCTGTAATTTTTTACCATCAGTATAAATTCTCAATCTTCTCAACAAAATGTACTTTAAAATAGGTTGGTGATAAATTATTTACAACTGTGAAAAAAATTAATCTTTGGTTTAATTCATTCATATTATTGTATGGGTATTTTTTTGTTTGTTAATAAAGAGTCATTTACATGATTAATTTTAAATCTAAGGAGAATTCAAAATTTAGAAAATCATTGATGCATTTTTATTACATTCTGTTTGCATTATTAATTTTAGTAGATGAAACCAGGAGGGAATTGATTTTTAATTCACACTACAATGGTCTCTAGTTTTAGTAATTCATTATAGTTTATAGTAAACTTGTTTCATCAACACAGCCTATAGTCATTTCATAGATTCAGTGAAAGTTGTTACAGCTAATTGAGATAAAAACCAACTTCATCCAGAAACATCAGTTATAATGGACAAAGATGATAAGATAATGACATTTTGCTTTTAATTCATTAAGTTGATGTTATCATGTAATATTTGTTCAAGTTTATGGTTATTTGTTGTCAGATGAGGTGTTAAATTTCTGGTCTGAATTAATTTCTGTTAATTACTCTTGACTTTGTAAAATGCTTTTTGAGATTGAAGATCTATTCTATCAAGACTACAATTAGGTGATAATTTTTGTTGTTAAATGAAGAAATATTTATTTTAGTTCAGTCAAACCTGCTATAAAGTCATCTCTTTTAAAGCAAACCCTGACATCTCAGGTCACCCTGCTTTGGTTATACCTATGCATGCATACATTTTTAACCTCAATTCAAATTCACTTGTTTTATGGAGTCAGTTTTTCTGTTCTCAATGATGACCTCTATTTACAGGTTTGACTGTGTTAACAGTAGGTCGTGACCTTTAACAGGTTTGACAGTGTTAACAGTAGGTCATCATTTGATATGATCTGTGTTTTATATTAGTTTAACGATATGTGAATTTAAGAGAAGAAAATTGAATGCTGATTTTGTAAGATTAAAGCAGTGACATTGGGTTGCGGTCTCATTGTTACACCACATTCCCATCAATTTGATTATGTGATATCTTATAGGAAAATGATTCAAAGTATGTTAGGTCATTTTGCATCAATAGATTTATGGCTGAAATTTTACAAAATATCCACTGTTCTTAGTTACATTTCCCTTATCAGTGATTCTAATGCCGTAATTAAAGTTTGATTGATTGATTGATTGGTGTTTAATGCCACTTGCAGCACTATTTGCTGTTTCGTGGTGGTAAGTTTTTATTGGAGGAGGAAGTGGTAGTGCCACCAACCTTCAACAGGAAAACTGACAATCCTAGTCAATTAAGAGGCACAACCTCAGGCTAGTGATACAGTAGTTGAACTACTAAGAATACTCTGCCACCGAGGCCGCTTTGAAGTTTGTATTGGCAATATAATTGGACAGTATTAAAAAAAAAAAAGACGTCTTTGAATTAATTTGATATACTGTCAGAAATAGGTTACTAAAAATGGAAATTCTTTTCCTATTTTTACAGTTGCATATTAATGTAGTGTTAACATATTTTATTAATTAAATTCACAATATAAATAATACCTAATATGTAAATAATACAATTAGTTGCAAATATTTATTATTATTGGCTTTGCTGATGAACTCAATTTGCAACGTACCAGGATGCCACTAAATATTATACAGTACTCCTATCACATGAATATCTTTTCTAATGAAAGCTGGAATAAAACTGAAATCAACATTTATTTCCCATCTGAATTTCAAATGATATAACTGTATTCAATCAATTATATTTGCAAAAATTTCTCTTTTATATTGATCAGAATCTATTATATATTTTGTTAATATACAGAAAGAAAAAGTAAAAACATGTGCACATGATATTTCTGTGTATGGACATATTGCCTTGTATTGAATTGTTTACATGGTAATTCAGATAAAAGAGTTTTTGTTTCTTTGTTGACTGGGGCTCCAAGAAGGGTCCACAGGGATGAAGGGGGTGACATTTGGACGGGAAAACTAAGGCAAGTTAGCAGAAATTTTGTCTTGCAATGAGCAACTTACAGACCTCCCAAAAAGTTGATAAAAAGACACTTTAAAGTGCAGACAAGTTGGCATTTCAATATGCTTGGCATCAGATTTTAAGTCCCCATTCAAACTGGATGTGTTTGCATCTTTATACACCCTGCTGACAAGCAGACACCCCTTGTCCAGGAGTCGTACCCCTCAGAGGGAGAAACTGGGACCTATTACTTTTCCCCTGGGTACCTTCAGGAAGAATATTTGAAGTCAACCTACTGCCTCTAAACATCCTCAAAGCAATTACTGTTTTATTCAACTTTTCAGGCCCTCAGCCCTCCAAAGAAATTTCTGGATCTACTCCTTGGTTTTTTGAAGCTTTATTTAACCTTATGATAAAATATATTGACATTGTTAAGGAAAAAGTTAGAAAAAACATATAATTTCTGACAAATTAAAAAGGGGTCAGTGAATGTATTTAAATTATCTTTTGATTTTTTAATTATCAGGTTTGGCTTCCATTGATGCAAACACGAGTGGTAAAATGGGCCTCAGAGCCATATGTTATTATTTTGGAACTACATTTTGTGCCATTATATTGGGAATAGTGCTTGTAACAGCTATTCACCCTGGTGATGAAAATTTACGACCAAAAGACTTAGGAGATGGTAAAGGTGATGACAGAGTTAGTTCCATTGATGCATTCCTTGATCTCATAAGGTAGGAACAATTATTGGTACTTCAGTGTGTTTCTGAAAATTATGGTTGATTTCTAAATGAAAAACACTAATTGTGGATTATTTATACTCTTTTCAACTTGTCATCAAAATCCTCTACACATTTTATCGTATCTACAGGAAATTTGGTATATCGTTAGATGATAATATACAGATGTATATGTGGGCAGAATGCCCTTGGCCATGGAGTCATGACTCTTTTAACTTAGAAAAGTTTGTCCAGCTCCTACCATGTCATGGCAATTCCTCAAAGATGGTTTATCATATCTATATAAAATTTAGTATATTGTTTGATTCCGACATGCAAATATATGTATGTGGTCCAAGGACACAGTTATCGTCCTTAGGTTTTCGTTGTCTACGAATATAGTCCCTAGTGCGAACAGTGTATAACTTGCATTTTTTTTTTATACACTTTTCCAATTTATTTCTTGATATTTTATGCATGAAATATTAAGTAAGGGGATGAAATTACATGTTAAAAAAATTTGGGTGCTGAATCTTTATGTTAAGTAGTGATTTGGTCCAGTTAAAAAAGGTCAAAAATTAGAATGTCTGAAGCTGTCAAACTGAATTTTAGCCCCCCTTAACACAGAATTGTCAATATTTTGAGTTAGAGCTGGTAGAAGTTTCTATAATTTTGATATTATTTTTATCAATAGTAGTACACTGCACTGTAAAAATCTTTTTGAGATAGAGCAGGTGCGATTTTTTTAATTTGAATTTATTGTCTAAAGGAAATGCACTACGAAATAACTGTGTTCTCGGGCCATGTATGTAGGATGTACATGCATCTGAGACAAAATCAAATAAAATACTACAAAAAAGTTCAATTTTACATCATCACCTTTTTTGATTCCCTGTATTTCAATCACTAGTATACTCAGTCAATCCTGGATGCAGGAAGTATTAGTTCAGCTTAGTGGACAGTTCTAGTTTTCATGGGGCAATTTCTTACATTGACATTAAGTTTCGGTGATTGGATCAAATTCTCAGTTCTACTGTACTGTATAGATTTTGCTTATTGTTGAAGGCTTTATTGTGACCTGTAATCGTTGACATCTCTGTCTTTTGGTCTTAAATGGATAGTTGTCTCATTGGCAACCACGACACGTCTCCTTATAATAAATTAATCTGCACTGGCTTCATACTACCAAACTTTCACTATCTTTGAGCTTAACTGTTTTGCCAGTTGATCAGTTTGTAGAGCTGAATTCAAACTTCAATTTTGGTAAAACATTTCAGCAATTGGTATTGTGAAAGGGCAAAGCCTTTAGGACAAGCACAGTAAATAAAAACAACTATTTTGTCACAGCGTTCTCAGGAACAACAACTTCATGTTAAACCAATTAAAGGCCTGTGGTGGGCATGATTACAAAACATCACTTAGTGAATATAATTGTACATACAATAGATAACACCAATTGAAGTTATATACACACAATATGAATAATTTTTTTACAGGAACGTATTCCCAACTAACATAGTACAAGCTTGCTTTGCTCATGTCAGGACAGAATATAAAGATGTTGTCAAGTTTCAAGAAGTAGACAAGAAGATATTGACATCGGATTATGATGCTTTGAATTTGTCATCTAATGACGTCAACAAGACGCTTGGTCTGATGCTGAATGCTAAAGTAGTAAACATAAGCCGATACAACATGTCTGATGATTACAACTACACACTTATCAAAATGAAAGTGCCATATAACAAGACTATTCAGCAATATCCTTTTAGTAATGGCATCAATGTATTAGGTAATTTATCATTATATGTAACGGAATTAATTTCAAACTCTCAAAAAAAAATTTTTGATAATAGATACAGTGGAATCAGTATTATTTGAACTGTGTACAAAGGTTTTGATAGGGAAAAGCAAAATAGGAACTTCAGCAATCAGTGAAATGCAAATTTTTATGCCCCCGCCATAGCGGAGGGGGCATTCAGTTATACCCTTGTCCGTCTGTACGTCAGTCCGTACATACGTCCCCAAATTGGTTTCCATTCTACAACCTTAGTTTCAAATTTTATGAAACTTATACACAATGCTTATTACCACAAAACACAGATCAAGCTTGAATTTTGGTGGCGTCACTTTTACCGTTCTAAAGTTATGCCCCTTCAAAATTAAAAAATTGCTAAATTTTTCATTTCGGTTCTCTTACTTTAGTTTGCCTCAACCAAATGTTATGAAACTTATGCACAATGCTTATTACCACAAAACACAGATAAAGTTTGAATTTTGGTGGTGTCACTTTTACCGTTCTAGAGTTATGCCCTTTACAAATGAAAAAAATGCTGAATTTTTCGTTTCCGTTCTCTTACTTTAGTTTGCCTTAACCAAATGTTATGAAACTTATACACAATGCCTATTACTACAAAACTCAGATCAAGTACAAATTTGGGTAACATCACTTTTACCGTTCTTGAGTAATGTCCCTTTATAATGTTTTATGCAAACGGGGGCATCATCTGTGTTCCATGGACACATTCCCCATTTATATTTCCAGAGATGCAATTACTGAATCAAAAGTGTTTTACTGCTTTCAATGCATTTTACTATTATTTACCGTATCAGGAATACTCAATTACGGAAGTCAAATGTTGTGCTTTTATAAACTAACATATTAGTTGGGAATTTTGGGACTGAAACTTATAAAGAGCCAAACTGTGGTGAAACAAATATATATCAAATGGCACTGTGGAATGAAGTAGGTCGGATGCAAGTATCTGTGTATGCAAACCAAAAATAAATATTTTAGACCTATATCGCTTTCGTTTGTATATTTACTTGCTTGATTACTGAATAAAATTAATGAATCTTACTTTTATTTAACCGAAAATGGGCTTCAGCAAATCATATCATTGTTGTTTTTATGTTTTTCCATGTTTTGAAGACTTTCACTTTCGTGCATTTTCCCATGCTTATGATCTTACATCACAGTTAGCGTTGATTGTGCAATGAACTTAATTTTAGTATTGAAATTGACATATCATGTTTTTCTCCAACTGTTAATGACATTTTTACACTAAATCCATTAGATGTTGGATGTGTACTGATTGATATTTTAGTCTTAGATACATGATTTTTTTTATAAGTTGTTATTGGCTTTGAACTAGCTGTCAGTAACTGCAAGTACTCTTAGATCTTTACTTAGTGTCGGTTTTGTTGTTGGATGTATAGAAAAGCTGCCACATCTGGTCTGTGTTTTTGTTAGATGTTTTCTACTTTGTATCGATCTGATGAGTTAAGCCCTTTTCAACTGATAACATGTTGTGGGGGGACATAGAAATACTGGGCGTCCGTCCGTCCGGTCTTGTTAGAGCTTTCAGGTGTACAGTCCTTGCCAGATTTTTATGAAACTTATATCATAGGTTTATAAAGGCAATGTCTTTATAAAAAACAGTGCGGATCAATTATTTTTAAAAGAGTTATGCCCCTTGGAAACATTAATTACATGGAAAATTGCATCATTAGCGCTCTCATGTGTACAGTTCTTGCAAGATTTTTATGGAACTTATATCATAGGTTTAATTAGGGCCCCGCGGAATGGCGGACGCCCTATAGTGATGAGTCTGTCCGTTTGTCCGTAACAAATTGTGTCTGCTTTATATCTATAGAACCGTAATGATTTCAAAGTTTATACTTGACATGTATATTAACCAACACCAGAGCGTGTGTCATAATGTATGTACAACTTCCTAGGTCAAAGGTCAAGGTCAAAAACTTTGGTTTTAGTTGACAACCCCATGTCCAATGATACAGATACAACAAATTGTGTCTGCTCTATTTCTTGAGAACCGTTACGATTTCAAAGTTTATACTTGACATATATATAAACCAACACCAGAGGGTGTGTCATAATTTATGTACAACTTCCTAGGTCAAAGGTCAAGGTCAAAAACTTTGGTTTCAGTTGACAACCCCATATCCAATGATAAAGATACAAATTTTTTACCACACATTATTCACAGCGGGGCCCACAGAGATGGCTCCCATCTCAATGATATCTAGTAAGTAATGTCTTGAAAGAGTTCGAAAATCAGTGCCAATCAATTATTTTTAAAAGAGTTATGCCCCTTAGAAATTTTGATTATATCGAAAACTGCATCATTAATGCTCTGATATGTATAATTCTTGCCAGAATTTTATGAAACTTATATCAATGGTTTATATCAGCACTGCTTTGATGAGTTCGTAAATCAGTGCCGATCAATTATTTTTAAAAGAGTTATGCCCCTTGGAAATATTAATTATATGGAAAATTGCCTTATGAGTGCTCTTATATGTACAAATCTTGCCAGATTTTTATGAAATTTATATTATAGGTTTATATTAGCAATGTCTTTAACACTTTCGAAAGTAAGTGCTGATCAAATATTTTTAATGAGTTATGCCCCTTGCAAAAATTAATTTTAACGGAAATCGCATTGCATTTGCTCTGAAGCCTTCATTTCTCTAAAATATTTATAAATTGTTATAAAGAACAAAGAAAAGGGACTTTTTTAAGTTATTGCCCTTGGATAGATAAAATATGTGCAACGCTGGGGGCATTGGAACTCTGTTCTTTTATTATGGTTTGTTCTAATGTTGTACTGTTACACTACTGTCCATGGTTAGGGGGAGGGTTTGGCGCCAGCAACCTAGTTTAACCCAGCCACATTCTATATGTGCCTGTAGTTCAGAGGTTGTCGTTGGTTCATGTCTGTCATGTTTGTTTTTATTCCCCATTTATGGGCATTATGTTTTTTTATCTGTGCGTTCGTTCGTCCGTCCGTCTGTCTGTCCCACTTCAGGTTAAAGTTTTTGGTTAAGGTAGTTTTTGATGAAGTTGAAGTCCAATCAACTTGAAACTTAGTACACATGTTCCCTATGATATGATCTTTCTAATTTTAATGCCAAATTAGAGTTTTGACCCCAATTTCACGGTCCACTGAACATAGAAAATGATAGTGCGAGTGGGCACCCATGTACTATGCACACATTCTTGTTTGTAAATTGTTTTGTTATAAATTAGGCTGTCAGTTTTCTCAATTGAATTGTTTCATATTTTTTATGTCAGGGCCTTTTATAGTTGACTATACGGTATGGGTTTTTCTCATTATTGAAGGCTGCATGGTTGCCTATAATTGCTTACATCCACTTCATTTGAACTTTGGTGGATAGTTGTCTCATTGGCAGATATACCACATCTGCTTATTTTTATATATGCTGCCTTGCAAACTTCTAACTGATTGACTTTCTGCTAGTTTCATTTTGAATGTATAATTACAGGTATAATTGCTTTTTTCACTGCATTTGGAATGATGTTGAGTCAGATGGGAGAGGAGGCACAATTGATGATCAACTTCTTCACAATACTCAATGAGATTATCATGAGAATGGTTACTATAGTGATGTGGTATGTAGTAGTTGTTACACAGTTACTTGTCCAATAGCAAACATTCCACCATTACAATAAAAAAAAATTATTGAAGTAGGTGATTAGCAAGGACATTTATTCACAACTATCAAAGTGTTTGCAAAACATAGTGATCATACATTCCATCCTGTATAATTAATAATTTGAATGCAGCAATCAACAATCAGTGTAACAAATGCAAATACCATGAGTAATCATAAATGTGGAGTAAATAATCTCTGTTACATATTATGAAAACCCTTAGCTCACTTCATATGTACATAAAAAAAAAGGATTCGAATTTGATAAAGATGGAAATTTCCGTTTAAAGGAAGTTGTTAACCCCTGACAAATGTTGGAGTACATTTTTGAAAATATTACACAGAAAGATTTCAGCTTCTAAAATGGTATATCACATTATAAATACATTCACTGAAGTGAAACAAGTGTAAAATAGATATTTAGATCAATCAAAGGAATTTTTTCAATGTGCAAATAATGAGAGTGTAATCTTTACATTTTTTTTTATCTATTTCAGGTATTCTCCAGTAGGTATCATGTTCTTAGTTACGGGTAAAATTTTATCACTTGAGGACCCTGGAGCTGTCGGTGAAAGACTGGGAATGTATATGGTGACGGTGCTATCAGGATTATTTATACATGCTCTCGTTACTTTACCACTCATTTATTTCTTCTTTACGAGGAAGAATCCATTTGTATTGTTCAAGGGAATACTGCAAGCCTTTGTTACAGCTCTGGGAACTGGTTCCAGGTAATATCTCATTTCAACTTGGAGGAAAAATCAGTTTCTGTTATTTCACGAAAGTTGTAACAGTTTCAGTGGAGAAAATTATTAACGCAATAATGAATGTGCAATAAGGTTATAACAAATAATACAAAAATCATACATTTGACAGAGTTGTCTTGTCACAACTGTAGATTTGAAAATTTTCAGCTGGAGTTTTTGGGCCTTATAACTGGAGATTTTTTATCAACGTTTTTCATTTTATCATAGCTTTCAGATATATATCCAAGTTGTCTAATTTATCACTAAAAATACCTGTTTTCCAAAATCTCAAAGGTGAATGAAAATTTCATAAAAATTACAAAAATTCCCAATATCAAACTTCATTTTTCATGTTTTTCTTGAAAAAAGCACGGTAAGCTTTATTTTATTTTGTGAATTTTTATAAGAGCCTATCTAGATCTTCAACATATCACAAAGAATGACAATACAGTGTTTAACTGTATAAAATCCCCTTAAACATCCCCTTAAACCAGCCTATCTTCGAAAAGAAAAAGGAACAAACTAAATTTTTAAAAATGAACACAACTTGTTTACACATTCAAATGAGGGTGTTGTTAGTTTAAACACATATCAAATACATGTCCAAATATTTTAATAATGAATAACAGTGAGAGAGATAGAGAGATGTAAGATATAACTGTGTGCACAATGTGTTTCTGGAATAATATTCATCAGGTATATAAAACTTATGATAGCATTTAAACTAATTAGGCATAAACAGAACAAAGTTCTATGGTTACTTTACTGGAAGGAGTTGAAACATAACTTTTTAGTGCAATTACATAATTTTATGAGCTAGAAATATGTTGATTTGAAAGTAGTGTTATCTAAATGTTTTTTTTTTCCTTTTTTTCTTGTTCTGTATCTTAAGCATGTGTTAATGATTTTTTGGTTCTGCATATTAAGTATATGTTTATGATTTTTCAGCTCTGCTACACTGCCAGTTACATTCCGTTGTTTAGAGGAAAACTTGAAAGTTGATCGACGTGTGACACGTTTCATTCTGCCAATTGGTGCCACTATCAACATGGATGGCACAGCCTTGTATGAAGCAGTGGCACCTATTTTCATTGCTCAGATGAATGGCATTGATCTCTCTTTTGGACAAATCATCATTGTCAGGTAATATTCTTTTATGATTGAGTGGCCTTAACTTACTTACTTACTGCCCAGTATGCCATTGGCATGTAGGGCAGCAACAATGAGTGGCCTTAAGTTTACCATTAATTCAAACTTCATGGATAAACAAGAGTGTATCTATGATAATGGGGGTCGGAGGGGTGTCATCACGAATTCCTTGAAGATTAAAGGCTGAATCATGAATTCCTGAAAAACAAAACATTCTTTCACGGATCCCAAAAAATTAATCATTTATTCCTGAGTCCTGATAAATGTAAATCCTGATGTCCAGAAAAATGTTCTGCACTCGATAATGCATTCTGGGTATGAAATTTTGTTTACCTATTCCATGAATTAATTAGCATGGCCATATCATTTAGCTGTACAATGTATCTGTTTTATGTGTTAGTAAAAAAATGAAAACATTTTTTAATGTGAAATGTTATCTGCAGTTGAACTCTGGCAGGAAATCTATTATTCATATTTTTGGAAAATTTCACATTTTTATAGTACTACAGAGCCCTGACTTATAAACAGCTCTAAGTCTACTGGGGACATTGTGATCTACTAAACTTATTACATGCAGAGCTTACACACTTCTTCTAGTAATGGACTTATGGAATTACCAACATGACATTCTACTTTCTGACAAAAGCAAAGAAATATGACTAAAGTAAATAAAATATAAATTCAACTTTGACTTAATACATCAATTTTCAAGAATCTCATTTTAAAAAAACAACATTATAAATTATTAGCATCTTGAAACTTTTTCTAGATAGATAATTGGTCATGCTAGTTAACCCTTTCAAAATTTAAAAGTAAAGAATAATTTCATATTAAGGACTGTATTTATCATTCCTTGCATGAATGATCATTTGATTACTGTAAATTCAGAATTTTTTGCGAGTTTTGTCATGCGACTGGTTCAGTATCACAGTATTAAGAACTCTCATTCTAATATCTGATACACATATCTGTATAGAGATTTTCCTTAAATTGGAATAGTTAATCTCGCTTTTTGTTCATTCTTTAAAAAATCTCAATAATAAATGCACACAATCATTTCTGTAATCATTAACAATAGAATTGTGAATGATCAGATTCTAATAAACAAACAACAGATTAGCCATTAAATATTGATAACAGTAACACAAATCATATATAATTGAGGAATGTAGGCAATGCTAATTATTTTCCCATCATTAAATCTTTGTATGCATGATGAGGAGGATGCAAACAAAAAACAGATTTATACCCAATGAGAGGCTGTTTGTAAACTTGTGTAAGGTCTATGTGCCTTGGAATAGTTAGCAAAATTAACTTGTTTCTTGATATTTTAATCCCATTCATTTGTTGAGTCACTATTCTGGAAATGTCAAAAGCTTTTCTTTCCCCCCGTACACACGTTGTGGAGGACATAGAAATACCAGGCATCCGTCCGTCCATCCAGTCTTGTTAGCGCTCTCACATGTACAATTCTTGCCAGAATTTTATGAAACTTATATCATAGGTTTATATCAGAAATGTATCTGACAAGTTTGAAAATCAGTGCCGATCAATTATTTTCAAAAGAGTTATGCCTCTTGGAAACATTAATTATATGGAAAATTGCATTGTTAGCGCTTTCATGTGTACAATTCATGCCAGATTTTTATGAAACTTATATCATAGGTTTATTTGAGGAATGTCTTGGACGACTCCAAAATCAGTGCTGATCAATTATTTTTAAAAGAGTTATGCCCCTTGGAAACATTAATAAAATATGTAAAATTACATTGTTAGCGCTCTCATGTGTACAATTCATGCCAAATTTTTATGAAACTTATATTATAGGTTTAAATCAGCAATATTTTGGAGGAGTTGGAAAATCAGTGCCAATCAATTATTTTTAAAAGAGTTATACCCCTTGGAAATATTATATGGAAAATTGCATTGTTAGTGCTCTCATGAGTACAATTCTTGCCAGAATTTTATGAAATTTATATTGTAGGTTTATATCATCAATGTCTTTGACGAGTTAAAAAATCAGTGTCGATCAATTATTTTTAAAGAGTTCTGCCCCTTGGAAATATTGATTATATGGAAAATTCCATTGTTAGCCCTCTCATGTGTACAATTCTTTCCAGATTTTTATGAAATTTTCATTATAGGTTTATATCATCAATGTTTTTGACAAGTTTGAAAAATCAATGCCGACCAATTACAGTAAAACCTGTATAAACCGGCCGGCTTATAATTGGACTATGAAAAGGGGCTGGTTTGGACAATGGGTCGGTTTATTCAGGTTGACAGGAAGTTTTTGACTTGTGACGTCAGATATTTTGCACGTAAAAGTTCTGCCTCATTGTAAATTGTAAACTAATAAATACAAATGCCGTAATAATCTATTTATTAAAAGTTATGTCATGATTTGTGTGAAAATATTGTGACATGAACATTAAAAGTGTTCCCTGCCTTTTCACCATTTAACTACGCACGATTGTTGTTTTGAGTCTTCATATTCATTGGCTTTAGAAATTTCAGTAATTGGTTGTTCTCCAAAATTTAAAAAAATTATATTTTAACTTTTTTTTACATATCTTCGTATGTCAAATCGACCTCGGTAGCATTGTCAGTTTCACTTTTGAGTTCATTGTTTTCATTTGCATCAAAATCCTTGAGCTGTTTGAATTGTTCGACAATAGTTTCGTTTTACTTCCATAGTTCATTTTCTATGTTGGAATAGCCGATTTAGAATCAAGAATTTTATCAAAAGAAATTTCATCATGATTGAAACATTGTCGTAGAAAGTATGATACACATAATCTCGAAATTGGAATGTTGTCATCCTGGTCATCTGATGTAAATTTCTTCCATTGCGATTTGAAACATTTATCAAAGATACAACATAAAGTTCTATCCGAGATATATTTGGCGTTTCTTTTAGTTTCTTTTGATTAAAACTTAATAGTGTTTCAATAATAAAGCTCTCTAATGTAAGTTCATGGTTTAACCTTGCTAATTGGTTATCCTGAAAAACCATCTTGTATAAACAGTTATGTTTTGATTGCATATCAATCAATACAGATATCACTTATTAAACAAACCGGTTTTGACAGGTAATAATTAATGTGATTAAGAGTATTGGGACTGCATAATTAGACCGGAATTTGGAATACACAGGGTCCAGTTTACTGGGGTAGTTTTACAAAGACTTTGAAGGGGAAAAAATGGGACTTCAATTTTTGGCCGGAATGGACAGGAAACCGGTTTATTCAGGGTCCGGTTTACCCAGGTTTGACTGTATTTTAAAAGATTTATGCTCCTTGGAAATATTGATTATATGGAAAATTGCATTGATAGTGCTCTCATGTGTACAATTCTTGCCAGAATTTTATGAAACTTATATCATAGGTTTATATCAGCAATGACTTTGACACTTTCTAAAATAAGTGCTGATCAAATATTTTAATGAGTTGTGCCCTTGGAAATATTTATTATAACAAAAAATCGCATTGCATGCCGTCATTTCTCTTAAGATATTTATAAAAACTTTTAAAGAACAAAAACAAATTTTTTTTTGTTTAGGTATTGCCCTTGTATCTTTGATAGATAAAATATGTGCAACGTGGGGGACATTGGAACTCTGTTCTTTTATAATTATACTTTTAAGTTGATTGATTGTTGGTGATTAATGACACTTTCAGCACTATTGGTTATATGGTTTTTATTGGTGGAGAAAGCAGGAGTGCCCAGAGAAAACCACTGACCTTCCCAAGGAAAACTGACAATCCTAGTCGATTAAGATTAAGGTTGAAAGACCTGCTGTGTGTAGGGTTCGAACTCTCAATCTCAGTGTTGACAGGCTAGTGATACAGTAGATGAACTACTTAGACCACCGATTCGTTTAAGTGTAAAATGACAAATTTGATGTTTTATTTTACAGCTTGACAGCCACTTGTGCCAGTATTGGAGCTGCGAGTATCCCTAGTGCTGGACTGGTTACCATGTTGATGGTTCTGACAGCTGTTAACTTACCTACTGAGGATATCAGCCTCATTCTGGCTGTTGACTGGTTTCTGTAAGTAACACAGAGAAAGATTTAATTGTTTATGTAGAGAAATATCCACATTCCCTAAGTATTGCTTTTCAAAATTGTTTGTGAATTAAGGATGTAGTCGGGTGAAATAAAAAAAATCAGAAATTTAGAATTGATACTAAAAATCAGAAGAGCATTAGTTAAGGGAACAAAATAAGCTAAAAGTATTGATAGGCTATGGAACTCCTTTTCGAGATATTTGATTTTTTTTAAATGGGGAAAAAGGCTGACGTGGACTTTTACCTTATATTTAGCATTGTCATAATTTGGGTCTCAAATCGTAAGAAAAGAGATCTAAAATCAGCTTAAATTTTGGTAATGACCTTTTATGAGCTATTGAAGTCTGCTATGAAAAGATAAATGGGTGATATGGGTCAAAATATTTTACCCTGTATCGTAGAAAAAAAACCAAGGAGTCCTAACATCTGACAAAATTCGTAAATCTGAAATGACTACATCCTTAAGTAACTTTGTAAGTGTTGACAATAAAGCAATGATCATTATCTCCAGACAAGATTCACGTGAATTTCACTAAATCTGATTCAGAATTCAAACATTTTAAATTCAGTTATGAAATAGCAACATTTATTTATTACATGACCCATATAAAGATGTAGCTGCTGTATTGAAATAGATCTTATTAATGTAGTACATTTCTACAATTCCATTTAATATAAATATGATTAAAAGGAGGTGTGGAGTTGGTTTCAGTGAGACAGCAACCTAACAACATAATAATTAATAAGTATCCATCCCATATGTGAAGCTTTGAATTCCCCCAAATTCTAGAAAAGTTTTGAATATAACAGTGACTACAAAAGTTCTGCAAACAACAACAAAGGAGAAGGTCCAGTAAGGGCTAGTTTTGGCCTAAAATTCGAAGTACATCTGATGAAAGAGTTTTTACATTTTTTAAACACTTATGTGTCTACTTAAGTCGATTCAAATAGTTTATGTAAAAGATTTGAACTGATTTGGTCATTAAAGACGTTCAAATTCAAGCTTGAGTATCAAAAATCTATCAAATATGCCATAAAACGTCACTTTTCAGATGTTTTTTGTCTAAAATGGAAGTAGCCGCATTCGTGTTCAGTCACAACCTTTATATATGTTATGTATTATCACCAAATACAACATATATTTAAATATTAAGACTGAACACAAATGCGGCCACTTCCATTTGAGACAAAAACCATCTTAAAATTAACACAAATGCTAAAATTGTGAAGATTTCAGTAATATTGCATGAATTTATGATGCTAGTATCTGATGCATGTGCATTGTATTGTCAAAAACAGCCCATATTTATGTAACATAAGTATTCTTCTTTCCAATAAATAGCTTAAAGTTTACATTTCAATAAATTCGTAAAAAGGCTATATTTCGGGCCCAAAAAGGGGTCTTACTGGACCTACTCCTTTATAAAAGGACAAAAGTCATGGAGATCTATCTAAAGACAGCCTTTGATGAGGGTTACCTTCACATTCAGCCCTTTCTAGCCAATTTTCACGATTTCCTATCTTTGTTGGTGTATTCATATAAAAGATTAGTAATCAAATTTGATATATTAACGACTATTTAAATTTGCAATATTTTAAAGTTGTTAAGTTAAATCGCTTGCGAAAAATTAGTTAGTTTACAGTATGTCTATAGACAATGTTTGATGAGATTCCTGAAGGACAAAGGCATGTATATATATCTATAGACAATCTTTGATGAGGTTTCTGACTTTGGATAGGTGACGTTAACATTTGACAAGATCGTAAGTATTTCCCCAATTTTGAATATTCTGATGTGTATTGAATTTTAGTATCCAAGAAATAAAAAAGTTTTTAATAACAAATATATTATCATATTATTTCAGAGACAGAATTAGAACAGCCATCAATGTTTTAGGAGACAGCTATGGTGCAGGAATTGTAGCTCACTTATCTCAAGCCGAGCTGGCAGCTGATTTGAACCACGTACCTGACATGAATATGGAACTAAACATAATTGAGGACGGAGAGAAAGAACCCAAAGACAATTCAGACAACGATAACGATGATAATGATCCCAAAGATCCTGATAATGGGGGAGAAACCATTTATCCCAATATAAGTTAATGACTTCTAGTAGTAAATGTGTATATTTTTTGTATATTTTATCAATTGGAGGTGCTCTTCATTTCATGAGTCATGTCACTGAAGTCAATATTATGTCACTCTTGAAATTTCAAGAGTTATATGAAATTTTTTTTTGTAGCAAAGAAATACAGAGTACAATTTTATATCACTAGAAATTTTGCCAGAATCTAATTCAACAGAGGAGGCCACTTTATTTATTTTTTCAGATACTGTTTGGTGTTCTAAAAAAGTAAAATATATATAAAATTAATTGTGAAGTCAATTATTAATTAATTAAACATCTAGAGATATCTTTATTGGCTCTTTAATGAAGAATTTGGAATCCTTAAATATTTCCCAATGGGTAAATAACAGAACACACAATATGGAGTTTAAACAACCGTTTTTTTTTTATTGTATAGGAGAAAAAACTAAAATACAAATGGCATGTTATAGCCATGAAGTTTTATTTGATATTTTAAGATTTTGCTTTTAATATTTGTTATATTTTCTTTATCTTAACTGCTATATCAAGTTTTTCATTACCATTTAGACTGTGTATAAAATACAATTTATTGTGTAAGTTTACTTCTTGTAAATAAACAAATGGTCATCTCATTGGTAACTTGAGGATGCTTATAATGCTCTCTACATTTTGATAAATATAGATAGAAGGCCAAAATAGGTACATTATCATTAGCGGTAGAATGCATTTTAAAATTAATCCCAAATGAAACCTATGTTAAATGTATCCATGACAACTTTTAATAGAATTTTGTAATATGGAATCTGCTGATCTTCTGAATGTATTGAATACAAATTTGTAATTGAGAAGTGGAAAGAATTTTCTCATGTTTCTAGATAATATGGAAATATAAACAATTTTTGTATAGCCTGTGACATATTTGACCTGAAATGCAAATTTGCTAGTCCTGCAGCAGTGTTTGTCAATTTTTTTTGTACAAAACTTTGCATTTTAATGGTAGAAGAGCTTGACAATCCATATTTATATAAAGATGCCTTATGGTCACTAGTTTCCATCTGGCAGATGACCGTTGTCCTTAACCACATTTTCAAGGTTCATGAATGCAAAAAGGAACCTAGTTTTTTTATCATTACAATTTTCATTATGAGTTATAGAACAACTGTATTTGGTATATCGAATAATAGCAAGGCATAAATCTCAGTAACTTTAAGTTAAAAGTCAAATAAATTTTGTGTAAAGAATCCTTGTAAGGTATATATGTCTGTCTGGCAGAAATCCTGTGACTGTGACCTCTTTTATAGGGATCATTGATCATGTTAAAAAAAAATTGTCTTAGCAGTAAGACTACCAACTATAAACAAAAATCCCACTAAAAAACTTCAGTTATAATCATTAAAGCAGGCAAGACATTTTAGCTTTTAAATTATATAATCATCTCTAAAATAAAAAATGCTTTGAAGTATTGTTTTCTTTTTACACAGACAAAATAAATGATCACAAAAAAACTTCATGTATTTTATCATCTTAGCCATTACAATTATCAATTATTCATAGCATTGTTCATTAATTATAAATTATTTCTGTAAAATAAAAATGGGTAAAAAATCCAAAGTTCATCTTTCACAAGTCAAATTGCATTTATCAGGTTATAATAAAGAATTTTTTTATATACTTTTTTTTAATGTGTATTTGTTATTTACAAAGTTTCCATTGGTTGTATATGTATATATATTTTAATACAGTTTCTTAATATGAATTTCAATGCTGGTCAAATGTATATAATTTTGTAAATAGTTGTTTAACATAAAGATTTGTTTGAAAACATAACAAACAGAAAATTAATGATCATGGTTGAATTTTCTTCACGAGTGGTGATTGTATAATTTAAAAATTTCAAGATTTAAAAATATTTCTGAAATAGATTTAGTGAAATTCATTTTCATTTTTCAATTTAAGTAATTTTAGTAATAAATGTTATATAAATTCAGAAATTTTTGCAATATTTTGGAAAATACCTTAAATAATTGCTTTTCTTTGTGAAAAATGCAGCATTGCAAGTATGGTTTTCAGTAGATTTTAATTTTTTAGCGTTATTTGCTGCGTTTTCTGAAATACATTAATATACCATTGTTGTCTGTTGATATATAAAAGTGTTATAAAGTATACACAATAATTTCTACAGTTACATTATTTGTGTTTGTATGTAAATAGAACTTTTATTCATATATTAAACTGTTGAACCAGTTTTGGAATCTCAGTGTCATTTTGTCATAATATGATGTACGGAAAAATCATTTTATATTTTTACATTGGAGACTTTATTATACTAAAGAATATTTGTCAGAATAGTTGTGCATTTGTCCTTACATTTTTATCTTAGGGCTTTTATTCATTTTATGAAGAAATATATTCACTATACATTTTTGTTATCAATTTTTTGTTTATGAAATTTCTTTTAAAATAATTCTTTTAATTTTATCGCCAAAATTTCAGGTCCAAACTGTAGTTATTTTAATCAATACTCATTCCCAGAAATTACCATTTAAACTAACCATCATTGAAAAGAACTAAGGTAACTGATGTTAAGTGAAACTATCCTATTCTTTAGACTGCAATGCAGTTATCAGACAACAATCATGACAATGTAATTATTAGACTACGATCATGACAGTTGAAGTATTTTGACAGTTGCAAGGACTTAAATTGTCAAAGGTTCATGAATTTTAAGTCTGTTGAACCAATTTCAATGTGGAGTGTTACTAGATAATAATATTCCTAGCTCCTTAACAATTTATTCAAATCACGATTGGCAAACTAAAACATTATTTTGACAACCTTGACACTTCATTGAAGTAGTATTCTAAAACTTAAAATAAGATCCCGACCACACTGAGTTTCATTTCGTGACGTGACTGAAATAAATTTTTTTTATGGATATAGTTGGGTATCAATGAGTCACAAATTAAAAAAAATGTTTAATATGTTTACCTTCTTTTGGTCCATTTATGTTTATTTTAAGAGAAATACAGGATGGACATTGTATTTGTTAACCAGATTTGAAGGCCATATTTTATACTTCTTTGAATGTTCAACAAGTTCAATCTGGTCATTGTGGAGGCAAATTTTAAAACAGTAATTTCAATATGGACAAGTTTGTAGGGCTAAACAATTAAAAAATGGAAGGAACTAAATAGATTGCTCCCTTATAACAATTGTATAACTGAGACTACTATATATGTAGATTGTAATTTAATTTGTCAGGTTACTAGTTAAAGATTTGAATAAAATACATAAGTTCATACATTTTGTAAGTAGACTTCGAATAATATCTTTTTATTACATACAATAGTTATTTATGGAAAAGACAGAGAGTCCCAAAGTTAGTCACTTGACAAGCTGGCAAGTGGAATTTCAATTTGCCGAGTTGAAATGAAAAGCTTCTCGCCAATTTGCTGAGTAAGAAAAAAAAAGGTTTTACACACTGTGTTACATGTAAATCAGCATATGCTTTGTCTTTCCTTAATGAGTACAAGATATCACTTTGAGGGAGATCTTATTGTCCAAATCCTTGTTTTTAAGTATTCTTTGTTTGTTTACATCTTTCCTCCATTATCTGTTCCCTTGTCTTATTGTCATTTATTATATATTTGAAAATAACAAAGTATATCAGTATTTTAATTGTAGACTCGTGTTTTCAACTTTTTTTTTTTTATTCATGGGAAAAATAACAGATTATTGTTGTTTTCGAAACAACTAATGTTGATCTATTTTCAATGTCTAGAAGAACAATCCTGTGTTTAATTTTTTCAATGAGATCCAGATGCTTTATATTTTATAAACAATTTCTGCATTATAGACTGAATGGACAACCAAGAATTTTTTGGTGTTGAAAGCATTTATCTGAACAGGAGTTTTCTGACCTTTTTAAGATATTTTTTGGTGTTCCATAGCAACATGATTTATTTATACAATTGAAAAACATAATATTATTATTCTAAGGAAACCTTTTTACTGTGGGAGAAAAAGATTAAATAAAAACATGACACAGAATTCTTGGAAACTTAATATGTAAATAAATATTTAGCTATTTAGCCTTTATGTTGTTCAAATGCCCTAAAATGTTGTATCATCCACATGTCACCTTGTAACTTAAACTTTCAGTGGAAATAATAATAATGATATGTTAGATTACATACATGTTTGTCTGTAACAAGGGCAATATGAAACCTATGAAATACAACTTGTTTTCACAGTATAAACAATCTAATTGATTGGACTTTTAATTTAAAATTTATTCTCCAATGTTTACATTATGTACCTCATCATTTTGTATTTCTTGTAAAATATTATGACAGGTATATCTTTTACTTTTTAGCTTAAACAATTTAACATTTTGAAGAGTAATTCAAATCATTGTTGGTTATAAACGGTGACTAAACTAACATGTAACAAAAATATTTAGCCAAAATTTCACAAACCAAGTGTACTATCTGCATAAATATCTTGGTTATGCCTTCATAATTGAATAAAAAGTACAGAATGACTGCTGAGTTGTCTTAATAGATGACCCCAGATGTTTTCATAAATGCTACAAGTTGTATTTTTTGTAGACAGGCAAGTTGTATCCAATAATATCAGCCCCTAAATTTACCTTTTGTTTGCTATATACAAATGAAATTGTGCATACTTGTATGTTTTGTACAGTATAGTATATGTTTTGTACAATCTAGAATATTTTTTGTACAATCATTTGAAATACTCAACATTGCTCTGTAAATGGCTGAAAAAAGAAGTATTAGTCGATAAGACTAGATATCGAATTTTCATTTGTAAAAATTTAACACTATACCAGGGTTCTTTGTATTACTGTACCTCTTTATGTAGTTTTAATATTCAATAAAAACATTATAAGTTTGTTGTATTGATTTTTTTATGCAAGATGAAAGAATGTTGGCCTGGAAAAAACTATATTACAGGTATAAAAAGGTTAAAGAGTTGAGCGTTCTTCTCATTTAGCATCCATCTTTAGTGACTAGTAAAATTGAAATTATAGTCTGTCGAGTGTCCATTTTCAAAATCTAATCTGATGTTTCTGTAGATCAACAAAAATATTATCTGTTCCTAAAACATAACAAAGGAAAGGAGGGGAATAAAACCAATATAACATTATATTAAAAATCCATTATTATATTGCAATGTTATATAGCTGCCAATTGTAGACAAACTGATACATTCATGATCCCTTTAAGAATTATTGTTGATTCCCATAAACATGACCACTGCTATTAAACTGGACAAGAAATCAATTGAAAAAATCTTGATAAATGAAACACTTATGATTGTCTTTCATAAAAATGGTTGATGACACCAAAAGCCATCAAACATGGCTGATTCAGCTACTATAACTACAAAATTGGGTAAAAAATTCTGAAAAAACTATTTTTGCTGGCCAAGGTTTCTCAAGATGATGTTCAACAAATCCATAGGGAGGCCGAGCTAAGTTTGCTGTTAACATAAAACTCAAGTTGAGCAAAATGTCATTTATTCAAAATTTATCATTAATTGAGAATGACATATTAACAATATCAATAGTAGCAAATAAATGACAATGACATTAAAAAGCAAAGGTGGGGTTTAGAAAATGCCACAAATCTCCAAAGGGGATCCCCACCCGAGGACTCCCTGTCCAGAACTAGGGAAGACAGTATATAAAGCTAAGGAAAATAAGCCATTACTGACCACTTAAATGCAGAGGAAGCCATGTTGAACTGTACTGTCCATATAGACGAAAACACATGTGAAAATAAAAAATTGTTAATAATAGTCATGTAAAAATGTTCACTAAAAATTCTAGAATATAGAAAAAACGAACAAAATATATTTATTACACAAAACACCATGTATTGGACATGTTGAATGAAAAACCAATGTAGAGCAAGCCATCTTTACCTCTACCCAAATATACTAAAAGGTACAATAGACTGCAGAGCAAACCATGTTGACATCTACTAGTAAGTCCAGCATGTTCGACAAAAAAAAAACAAATGAGTTTATCAGTTACAGATTCAAAAATTGAGGTGGAATGTACACAGGAGAAGGATTTAGTCATGGAGCTATCCGATGAACTTTTTGAAAAGAAAAACGAGACAACAGGTCACAAATTACATTGGTCTTTCCAGGAATATGCTTAGCTCGAAAATGAATATTGTATTTTAAAGCAGCTAGTACCAATCTCCGGACCAATTTCATAATATTCTTTTCTTTTTCTTTTCCACAAAATTTTATGGTTGGCTAAAAATGAACCCCAAATATCAATTGCCAAAACAATTGGAAAAAGTACTTTTATTGTAATGGGTAAATTTCTTATCTCCTGTGGCCATTCACCTGCAAACCATTTGATGCCAAAAACAGCAGCAAATCCACCATGTGTCCCAGCAGCATCTGAATAAAGTTTCAAAACATCTGAGGAAACCCATTTGTTATATAAAAAACATGATTTGCCATTAAAATCTTTAATAAATAAATCCCATAATTTAAGATCTAGTCTTGCTTCAGAATTTAACTTTATTCTATAATGTGGAGATGTATGACCTATAGTCAAATCTAATAATCTGCGTAAGAAAGCTCTACCTGGAACAATGACCCCACAGGCAAAATTCAAAAGACCCAATAATGACTGTAACTCATTTAAAGTTACACTACGTTTACATTTGTATTTATTGAGTAATAGTGAAATTTTTTGAATTTTTTCATCAGGTAAACGAGCAACCATCTGTACGGAATCAATTTCAATCCCATATATTACAAGACAGGTTGTTGGGAGTTCTGTTTTTTCCATTTTTATGGGAACCCCCACTTTCTCAGCAAGGCTCATAAAAGTGTGCAATGCTGTCAAACAATTATTAGTACCAAACTTTCCTACAAAGAAAAAAATCGTAAGGGTTCCGCGGAACCTAGTGTCTCGCCTACTTTTGCTGTTAATCGCAGGCTCAACAAAAATGAGGAAAAAAATTAATAAAAATATTCCTCTCTATACTATCTTTTGATTGTAAGTAGCTTCTGTCCAAGTTTGGTAAAAATCTAGGATAGTTTATGAATCTAATAAATGTTTTAAAAACTTAAACAGCAGACTGTATGTAATGTTAACTGGAAGAAAAACTAAGTCCATTTATAAGTAAAATACGGAAAAAATGGAATAAAATTTTAACAAAATTTCCTTCTAGATACTAGCTTTTAATCATAAACAAGCTTCTGCCCAAGTTTGGTACAAATCCAGGATAGTTTAAGAAAGTTGTTAAAATTTTAATAACTTTAACCACAGAGTGAATGTAATGTTAACTGGCAGAAAAACTAAGTCCATTTATAAGTAAAATACGGAAAAACTGGAATTTTGTTTTTACAAAGTTTACTTCTGGATACTATCTTATGATCATAAACAAGTTTCTTTCCAAGTTTGGTAGAAATCCAGGACAGTTTAAAAAAGTTATTAAAATTTCAAAAACTCTAACCACAGCGTGAATGTAATGTTTCCTGGCAGAAAAACTAAGTCCATTTATAAGTAAAATACGGATAAAATGCAATTTGTTTTTACAAAATTTACTTTTGAATATTATCTTATGATCATAAACAAGCTTCTGTCCAAGTTTGGTAGAAATCCAGGATAGTTTAAGAAAGTTATTAAAATTTCAAAAACTTTAACCACAGAGTGAATATTTGTGGACGCCGCCGCCGACGACGACAACAACGACGACGACGACGACGCCGACGCCGACGACGGAATGTAGGATCGCTATGTCTCGCTTTTTCGACAAAAGTCGAAGGCTCGACAAAAATCATCAAGTAAGTGAGATACCCCATGAATGTGAAATTTCTCATTTAAAATCCATTGAAGTGCCGTTGAAAAAGCTTCAAATAACTGACAGGACGAGGATGCCCCCATTGGTATAGATGCGTCATAATAATATTTACTATCCCACTGAAATCCTAATAAATGATGATCCTTTTCTGAAATAGTAATTAAGCGAAATGCGTCTTTAATGTCACTTTTAGCCATTAGACACCGTGAACCATACAACTGGACTAACTCTATAACTGTCTCAATATTTTGGAATTGCACTGCTGAGAATTCTGGAGAAATACCAGAATTAACTGAATTTCCTTGAGGGTAGGACAAATCATGAATTAATCTAAATGAATCCGGTTCTTTCTTTGGAACTAACCCTAAAGGGGAACAAACAAAATTAGGGAAAGGTGCATTTTTGAAGGGACCTTTAAAACGCCCCAACTTTAATTCTTTTTCAATTCTTGATTGTACTACAACTGGATTTTCTCTGGCGCTATTATGATTTCGAGGAAAATTTTATTCAGATCTTGAAAAAGAAGAATTTATTGAAAACCCTTGTGTAAAACCATGTATCAATTTCTCTTTCAACTGTTGATTGTAACCCGATAAATATTTATCCAATTCATGAACTTTTACCGGAGAAGGAAGGTTTGGCAGAGGTTGCTCGTTTAACTTGGCTCTCTGTACAAATGAGGGTACAATGTTTTTATGCTGCAATGGACACACTGGTGTTCAAGTTTACAGTTTTTTTAGGTACATTCCCCTGACTTACAGAAGGCCCAACAATAGCCGATGGGGAACTGAAATTGTTGCTGGACCCTTCTTGGAAATGTATTTTTAGAGGTATTCATAAAGGAGCTCCTATCCTGAGACGTGACACTGTTAGACCGTTCAGTCAGAGATACAGACCTCCATAACTCGTCATTTATGGTATCCCATCTCAAATGTAGAATTTTTCTAACCCTTCTAAATTTCTCATCATATGTTTTAGCTGCTTGAAACCCCAAAGATTTACATAAACCACGAATAGTATAACCATACTTTATCAAGGCCAAAGCAGAATTCAAAGACTTTCCTAAATAAATGGACATAAATATGTCAAAATTATTCATCCACTGATGAATTGATTGGAGCTCCCCTTTGTTTTTCCTATTTGAAATAGTGATGTTAAAATTTTCAAACAAAGTTGAGGAATCTTCCTCAATATGAGACGGCAGCAAGAAGGCAAAGTTCACATAATTGTCTGCCCAAACATCATCTTTTAGCTTACAACTAACATGAAAATCTATTGGTATAGAATGTTTTAACATATGACATGCATAGGGAGTGTCTACATTAGCAGAGCTTGAGTGGAACTGCTCACCAGGTATTACACACGGATCCGATGATAATGTTGGCTGAAATAATGCTAATGATGAGCCATGGTCATCACTGTTGTCATGTTGTATAGTTGTCAACGGTGGTATACCCGTTTGTAATGAAGGATTCAGTATGGCTGAAATCTCACTGGTCGGCATCACGTTATTGTCCTTTACTAGTTGAATGCCAGAACTGTGCAACTTTGCAAATAATGCTTCAGCAATGTCATCAGCGGATGGACTGGTATGAAGATTATTGTTGGAAGGACTCATAATAATATTGTCCGGCAAATCAGCTCGTTGCGGTTGTGTCCTAGTACTCCTTCGTTTCTTTGTCCTGGGTCTATTTAATGGCAGCAAAGCAGTAGTCTCCATCCCAAAAACATCCCCAATTGTCGCCTCAGTCAAATGTCCGGGAGAAGCTTTCCTTTTTGTTCTTTGCTTTGGCATTCTGACTGAAATAATTAAGAATTAAAAACAAAATATATGTGTATACTATTTTAATTGTTAGTAAAATATTTTCTTAATATGGCCAATTGAGGAAATTATGATCCAAAACTTTTTAGGCATATTTGTAAGCCTATACATGTGTAAATAAATACATAGATTCAACCAATATTGAATTTAAAATTTATACATACTGATATAATAACTCCAGAACTACAAATATTATATGTATAGAAAACATGTAAAATTAAATTTTACAACCAATT